GCGCTCCCCTGTTTTGAAAAAGGCCCATTTATGTTGCATGACCCACTGAGCGATCCCCCCACAGCTGGATTGAATGATCTCCGCCAAATATTTGTGAGCTTCACCCCAGAGCTCGAGCCCAGGGGTTGGGACCCCTTGACCCTTGAGACAACCTGCACCCCAGGCTCACCATCTGAGTGTGTTTTGCTTGAGGGTACCTGTTTCAGGACAGGAAACCGCCTGTTTTGAGGGAACCTGTTTTGACAGATACCCATGTCCGCACAAAACGACATGGGCCACCCCACAGCGGCGCCCTTGCTAAAGCCCAGAAGAAGGAGACGAGAAGGCAGCTCCTGCGGCGTTTAGCACCTGATCGCTCAGAGCCTCTGGAAAACCAAAGGGAAACCAAACTACTTCACCCGGCAATCGAAGCTTCCAGCGCAGAATGCAGCTCAGCAGCACAAACACCACTTTATGAAGCAAGTCTAAACACCAGCTCGTATTGCATAATGTTCTCATGTTACCAGAAGCCTCACCATCAATAAAAGGACGCTTCTCCGTGGACATGACTGTTTATGATGTGCTGTATGGAGACGGGTATGTTCAGACAATGTAACCCGGACACACGTAGATGGGGTTTTCAACTTGCAATGGTCAGCCTGGGTTGCAAGAATCGTTTCATGATTCAAAGCACAGGGTAGGTGAATGCTGTCATGTATCCCGCAATCAGGAAGACGTGAAGGGACGGGTCATTCAGACTCTAAGCCTCGTCGGATGTTAGGAAGCGAGGACTACATTTAAATGCCCAACCAAGGGGTCTACCATTTTGAGAAACTTCTCGCTGTTCTCACAAAATGTTGCGACTCGCAAGGCCCATGATGGCTCCATCGTAATACCAGTATGTCTGAACTGATTTGGCCTTACATCGCTGGCTGCCCTGGCAGGCACGGGTATCATTTGAAAACGGCCCCCCTGTCCATCTCAATTTCAATCACGAAAGTGGCGCGCGAAGCACGCGCTTGAAGCTCCGGCTCAAATGCCACGTCGTACTAGTTTAGTACCCAGAAAGAACACAAAATGCACTTTCGCAGCCCCATCTCGAAAGTGGCAAGTGTCCAAAGCGAAGCACGGGCTTCCACTTCATATGGGGACCTGCCTTGTGGAAATCATATGGGTCTCGCTCCTTCATCTGAAGGGCCGTTTCTGGCATACCGGCGCCTTTCCACAAGTGTGTTGCTTCAAACGAGAGTGCGATATGCTTGCGATAGACTGCCACTAGCAAGTTGCTGCTGAAAATGAGTGTCCGGAAATCTTTGCACTCACTGTTGCAACCACATGGTTCACTCATGAGGAGACTCTGATTCAACGCGCTCTTTGTGCAAAAGCACGATCTACATACGAACTCTTCATCTGGAGCCCTCAAATACCTGCCCAAGGGTATTGTTCCTCTTGACATGTTGTTCGGCATGTTGTCATGACATGGCGTCTGAAGCAAAGAACTCTTCATGACCTTTATGTTTGACCCTTGCACATCTCTTTCGTTTCTTGATGCTTCTCCATGCTCAAAGCTGTGATTGACCTGCAGCCCCTCCTCGCCCATCTCCTTCTCCAGAGATCTCAGCCTAAGCGAGCGGAGCAACGGGCGAGGTTGCTTTCCACGGACCGCTTTGTGCCGTTGGCGCAAGGCTCAAGGCTCAAAAGGACTGTTGGACTGCTGGCCTTCTCAAAGTCAACTACACCCGAAGCTTCATGAAGGGGCAGTCATGAACCTTGTGTGGGAAAACATCTACTTGCTCACGCTGCGCTTCTTGAATGTCAGGGAAGGACCCTGACAACAGCCTGAAGAATGCATGTTGGGAGTCTCTGATTCATCGAGTCTTGTCATGGAGCTTGGCAAACTCTGGCTCTGCTGCACCTTCAAAGGCACCATCCGAGATACTCCGGATGATTGTCAGACACGCATCAGCCACTTGACATTTACCCCGGACCATTGGTTGCCTTGTCAGCGGGTCGCTGAGGACGTCTTGCTTCTTGACGAACTCTGCCAAACATTGCCCGGGGGACACTACTCCAGACCGCATCCTTTCCTAGACATGCTCTGCTTGGCCCGACGGCCTCTGAAAAGAACTTAAAGCTCATGTTGTTGGCCGACTAAAAGTGCGAATGTAGCAGTTGACACGGGTCCCTATTTATGAGGGAATTCATCTTCCAGGTACCCTCTGCGCAAATGTTGGGAGGAAAGATCGAATCTAACCAACCTTTAAATGTAGCACGATGTCGGAAAGAGGTCTCAGCAGTTTCGTCAGCGCAAACCCGCCGAGTGCTCGGTTTCCATTAAATTCAACCCACTCGGGCCGCGCACAGAAGCCGCAAATGGTCCGAGGCCTGCAAGAGGGCGGCACATGGCGCCGAAGCTGATGAACCCCCAATCTGACATGTCCAGTGCATAGCTCTTTCGATAGGGAACCAGGCAGTGTCCTTTTCATTAAAAATACGCTTCCTTTGGATTAAAAAAACGCTTCCTTTGGTTACCTATGGTGAAATGAAAACACTGGGATAGTATGTCTTGGATACCACGTTTCCTTTTTTGGAAGCCAGACAACAAAAACCAACAAAAACACACTTTGTTGGGGAAGAGTCGCCGATCTGGAGACCTGCATATGGGAAGCCCTCACAACACCAGCCGCGGAATCTGCGTCTGGAGGATCTGATGATTGGAATGCGAGCAATTCTGCCCACAGAACGCTCCTTGGAAACCAGTTGCACACATGAGTCAGCCAGTTCGCTTTGAGATGTTCGATGTCTCCGAGCGCCTGGGCTTGAGCAACGCAGGGGGATCAGAGGTCTGCTTGGGCTGGACTGTGGTGGGCGCCATGTTCCGTTCGCTTTTTCAACCAACCAGTTCTTTTTGGCCCCAGAAGCCGGGTACACTTGGGGTCCAACGCAGCCCCTTCGACTGCAGTTTGACAGCAACACGGGTGCGCCACGGTGATTAATCATAGCGGGCTAGTGTCACTGGTCACTCACACAAAGGTCATAACTCCGCTGATACTGCCGGCTGGAGCAAAAACACCTGGCATAGCTCCTTCCCAATGTTATCCGTAAGCCAGGAAACATCACCATGGATGCGCTGAGAAAAAAAGCCCAGCCACCAATCCCAAAAAAAGACCCCCCGAAAGGAAGACGTAGAAGCGATTTGCGTAGGGACAAACGAGACGAGACATGTAAAGTCAACCCGCAGCTTGATTTTGACCAAAAAGGTGACAAGTGTGGGTGACGATAGCTAAAGCACATATGGGCATCTCATAGGGGAACCGGTTTCCTTTCAAAATTTCTACCATCACATGGCTGTAGGGCACCTCACTTGAGACCCCGGCGGACTCCTCGGCCTGACTGTCAGTGGCCGCCCGGATTGTGCAGGGTTCGAGGAAAATAAAATTCCACCCCAAGGGTCATGACGGACCCGTGGGTCCATGCAAAACCCGACTCAGGGGCCCTTTAACCAGCTTCGAGGGCCGCTGTCCCAAGGCAGCCTGCAAAGAGAACCAGCGGACCGGCTTGGCCTCCGTCTGCATGTTAGTAGCTGAGTGAGTCTTTAAAAAGCAACAAGACCAAACCCCTGATGGCATGATGAGCTGTCTGCCAAAACTTTTAAATCCGAAGCTTGCCGTGTCGTCCAAAGTCTTGACATCCATCCATTCAACCATGGTTGCCTCGCTTTGAGTGTCAGTGGGAACCTGCAAAGCTGAGGAAACTCTCCAATCAAGAATGTTGGACCCGGTGTTGTGCAAGGAACGTCTTTAGACAGCGTCTTTCCGAATAGAGGACCCTGGGACTGGCTTGGGACCCTGAATTGTAGAAAGTGTGTCACCTCCCAAAACAAACATACAAACCATAAGAAGGAATACTGGAATAGAATTGGCGGGCCCCCGCCCCCCTCCCCCCGCACCCCAACCCAACCCAGCCACCCCCCCTCCCGTTTTCCACAAATCACGCACTGTTGGCACTGTTAGGGGCGGGGGCGCGGGTCATACTGAAGCAGGTCCAACGTTCAATATCAGCTTGACCCCATTCGGGTATCTGGTGTTTGGCATCTGTTGCAAGCCTCAGCCAAAAGGATTCTGACTCTGCAAGGGAACTGCGGCTTTTATTTTCTGAACCGAACCTCATGCTTGCACCCTTTGTTTCAACTGGACGATGCCCTCAAATCGAAAGACACCAAACCAACCACCATCTGGATGACATGTTCCCTTTGTTCTCCCTCAAACAAAACCACCACTTGAACAGTCAGTCCTTCAAATCGAGATAAGTGGCACGGTCCAACCGGCTGAACAAGAGGGCAAGGGTGCAACTGATCACCCAATGGCAATTTTCAAGCACAGCCACAAATGTGATGTTTACAGGAAAGCAAGCCCCGAAGCAACCATACAGGCAGAAGCGTTGACGTGATTCAGCCATGTGCTAACCTTGAAGATTGCGGGCTCTTTAGAAAGTGACACACTCCAGAAGCCGCCAACTGGCACATCTTTTAGAGTCTAGCTTTCCGCATGTCATGCTGCTGGGGCAGAATCAACATAGCATAGCGCAGTGTTGTTCTGCACTGGCAAGACCCAGGGCCGCAAAGATGTTCCAAACAGTGTCAATCGCACAATCAAGCCCCTCTGTCACTTTGTCGTGCTACGGACAAGCAAGTGATCCTAGAAAGCGTGAACAGAGCCTCAGTATTGGCAAGCCCCGTCACTTGTGTTCATTCACAGGCTGATGCCTTGCCACCGACCCACCTGTACCAGTTTTCGAATCTCGGGCTTGACCATTGATGCAGGTGATAGGGGCTTGTTTGCCTCAACATCAGGGGCCAAGGAACTCATAAAAGAGGGGCCTTGGACAAGTTGGAACATCTCAGCTGCACAGTGCGGCTCCTAGGTCGGTGCACTTCGGAGGGTCGCTTCGCGACATGCCAGGAAAGGCAAATCAGTCGGATAAGCAGCAATTCGCACTTCAACCCGGAACGACAAGTGGCAGTGGACTTTGCTTTGCCTGGCACAGATCCTCCAAAGACTCCCCCAAGCCCACGGTCACATGAGGTCGCTCCGCTCGAGAATCCGCACCTCATGCCTGGGAACGCACCGATTTGAAGGCATCTGAACACAGGCTGCGGTAGTGCACGGGTATGTTTGCTCCCATGAAAGTCCCCCCACTGTACAGCAACAGGGGCCCACCTCGGAAAGCAGTGAGTTTACCCAATTCCCATCGACTGCAACGCAACACGCAAACTGGCAGAGAACAAGTCCCACTTTCAACGGGCAAACTCCAAATCCAAAGCCGGAAGCAAACCCATCAAAGCCCACCCTCGTCAGCCAAGTTTGTGCTTTGGAGAGCATGCCGGGCTACCTGCAGACGACACAGCACTGCGGCATGATGCGAAAAGGCCAAGGCCCCTGAAAGCTCACCCCGAAACTTCTTGAAAAAACGCACGTGATGGGAACTCCTTTACTTGGAATTTAATTGAAAACAAATGGGACCTAGCGAGCAAGGACAAGCTTGTTGTTTCTGTTAGTTGAATTTAATTGGAATTTATTTGCCAAGGTTAAATGAACACATATCAAACCCACATTCCTTTCCAAATAGACTTTTATCAGAACTGAAAATAGAAACCTGTGATGAAAAACAACCTGTTTGCTCCTTCCAAGGAACCATTTATTCAGAATTGCATTTTGAAAAGAGTAAGAAGTTAGACATAAGTTTCGGTCCCAATAAGTGCTTCATAGAACGTAGTTAGAACCTAGATCGAATCTAATCTGGGAAGACTCGCTGGTCGTGTCTTTTAATTGGCAGACTCAGGCAAAATGCGATTTCAGTTTTAATTATTGCTTTACGATCTTTGAAGTGCAAGGCTTCAAGCTTAAGCAGGGCTTTCAGTAGAGTTCAGTTGGGTGTGTTGTGTTGAACTAGCTTTTGAATATGCATTCCTGTCCAAGTAGGAATAGCACTGGGCCTACTTGCAATCTCCTTTCAAGAAAGGAAGAACACTTGGTATACAAAGCATAGAGTGAGGAAAGACAAACTTGCCAGCCCCGCAAAGGAGAAACAACCGCCAACATAAAGGCAAAACTCACATTCAGCATACCGGCTTGCTAGTTTCAAACTGCAATGATATTGAGCCGGACGCCCAATACACTTCAAATGGAGGTCTGACCTTGCACTAGGCTTGATTTATTAGTAGGAGTTCCTTTGCAAGTAAGATCATAAACTGAGTTCTGATGTTGCAATAGCTTTTACATAGAACCTCTTTCCAAATAGGGTTGCCACAGGATTCACTTGGACATGTTATGTTCCCCACGCATTGTTCTCTTTGGGACTTGCGTATTGTTCAAATCAAACGTCGGGAAAGCTCTTCAAGGTGCGTCTCGTGGGTGGGGGGCGTAGCATATGTATATATGTGTATACATGTAGACATATATAATGATCTAGTCCAGGCCCCCCTCCAGTTGGGTTTGTTGGGGGCAAACCGTGCACCTTTCGGACAATGAACCATAAACAGGCGAAGCGCTTTGAGACCACCCAAGACCTCAAGCTGCGATATTTTCTCCGTAGCGCGACGTCAAACACGGCTGTCCAAAGGTGACGCAATCCCTTCCGCTGGCCTCTGCCAGCAAATGGATTGAGGAAGTTTTGCGTTAGCCCACCCACCCACACCAAGGAAGGGAAAGGCATGGGGGGTGGAATATGAATGAAACGAAAGGTTGAAAACGAGGCTTGGCCGTCCCTGGATCTGGTGCCTGATGGCCACAGCCCGGGCCCGAGATCGGACGGCGACCAAACAGCATGGCACATCCGGAAAAGTCCGGAAAAAGTCCGGAAATCCTTGATGTGGGCTCGGTTTTTTGGCGCTTGAGTGACGGCCAATCCCATGCAAAGGCCAGGTCTAAACCAGGGCTGAAACCAATCTGAAACATCGCATGTGAAACCTTTCAAGCGAAGAGACAAAGCAATCGCTGGTCCGTCTTCCTGTTCGCCTGGCTCTCCAGGTAAGAATCAAGTCCGAAAGCATCCCCCTGCGCAGGAACAGGACCGTTGCCTGTTATCTGTCTATGTCTGAAACTCAAGCCCGAAATGCTGGTTCCCCAATTACCCAGTAGCACAAAAAGGTTCAATGAGAGGCTGAGGGTTCAAACAGCATGGCACATCCGGAAAATTCTTTTTTGGGCGGGGCTCAATTCCAAACTTCCCCCCCCCCATCGCTGGTAGCACGAGAGCTGTGCAAGGGCCGTTCCTATTGATCCCAGTAACACAAAGGTTCAGCAGCATCCAAAGCACAATCTTTCTCGGTGTTTTGAGGGGGGCTCGCCAAGGAGTCTGAGCCAGGTCTAAACCAGGTCTGAATCAGGCTGAAGCCAGTCGCATCAACTCGTCCTCAGAACCAGTCCGCGCTACGGGTTCAAAACTTTGGGCTGATGGACGGTAGGCTGGGTTGACTGAGTCGCTACGTCGGCATTGCCATGGTCCACGAGGTAATCCGGTTACACAGCGCCACTTCGTCGAAGGCTGCGCCTCCCCACTGGGCGGCCCAGGCTTGTATAAAGTGGGATGATCCTGCATGGCTGCAGGGTGGCGGGGTGGCGGTGGCGGGGTGGCGGCGGGGTGGCGGTGGCACCGGACAGTGGCCAGAAGCACGACAACAATGGCAGTGTTACTTTGCAGCTGTGTTTTCTGCTCGGTCTGAATTCTACTCTCTATTCCGCGCCCAAGCAGCTAGCCTGCATGAGCCTTACCTTACACTTGGAACAAAGCCAGAGTGACTTAGCCTTGCTTTTTCGATAGCAACCAGCACCAAAATGACAACATGTCGTTACCTGGCTTTCTCAGGAAGAACAAGTTGTTAGAGAAGCAGTTCTCCCAACACAGATGCTGCAACAAAAATCGAGCTAGAAGATTCCCAAGCAAAAGGCTAAAAGGTTGGCTTTGGCCAACTAAGTTGGTTGCGGGTGGGTTAGATTAGAGTGAGTTTACAAGTTGGGTTTGGAGTTAGCTTCGGGGGTAGGCTCGGGATAGCCCGAGAACCGGAGATCCGGAAATGGGGGGGGGGGATATCATTGGGGGAGGGGGAGGGGGGGGGCTAGCGGACCTGGGACCGGGAACATATGTACAATATCTAAATATATATATATATATATATGCATATTTATAGTCAAACTATTCAGAGCCATTTCGAATGGGCCAGTGACGGGGTTTTCGACGACCAGTCATCATGCTCAACATCAAACATCCCGTGCCAAATCCAACATGTACCTCACTTCCGATCAAGTGGATTGAGCCCAAACAAGTCAACACTTGTTTGTTGCACTGAAATGGTCGTCGTGAACAGCAATGCACTTTATGACGATCAACCTTGACGACCATAACCGCATTGAGAACATGTTGGGGCTGGCAGCAGCATTGGAACTTTGCCAGGCATATCATATTGCATGTTGATGTGCTCATGATCATTGGGAACCACTGAAGCTGTTCCTGCATCAAGGTCCTGAAGAGTCGAAGCAGCACTTCTTCAATCGAATAAACAACTTAATACCCTTTCTCCCAGAGCTGCAACAGTTTTTTCTCTGACCATCAACGCGCTATACAATTTGTTCAAGCCTAAAAGCAACTCAGCTAGTTTCCAGTGCAAGGCCGGGTTGCAACATCAAGGCTCCGGTTCGGAATTCGTCTCCGCCTGTCGAAAGAGGCATGGCAACCAAAGAGAATGATGTGGTTGCCTACACAGGGCCGTGTCTTTTCTTTTTTTGTTGGGGGCGGGGAACCCCCTTTTGGTTTGTTTTTTTTAAGGGAAACACAAAGGACACCTACCACTTTGGGGGAGTCCCTTATTTTAAGACAAGCCCACATCTGGAATCAAGGATTCCACTTCACCAGACGTTGAGGCTATCAAAACAACATGGAATCCGCGATTTCAGTCGCGTGATCCGTTGAAGCTGCAGGTGTGTTAAGATCGTAGAATTGCTATCAGCACCCAATTCGCTCAATGCAAAGCCTGTGACTTGGTATATAAGGCATGCGATAGGCTGTGCTTCCAACTTCGGCCCACACCCAAGGCTCCAGAATCGACAAGCATAGCTTTAGTAGGACTACCTCAGCACTTGCTTCCGTGAACGTGTTCATCACGTTCCATGCTGCTCCGAACCATGGGAAAATGACATGAACCTGAGCAAATTACGAGAATTCCCCAACTGAAAATGGGGGACCCCCCGAGGACCTGCATCCTGGGTGAGCTCGTCATAACTTGCCCAAATGAACCGCATGCAACTTTCTTGGACTGCTCAGGTGTGCGACTCCAACACGCGGCCCGCAGCTGGAACATGGCTGAAGTGAGGAGCGGGAACCAGAAATAGGGCCGTGTTCGGCGGGTTCAAGGTCAGGTTTAGAGTGGGCTGAGGTTGGTAGAATTGCTTGACAATTGACTTGGGATTCGCGGCAAGTCATTCTGGAGCTTATCGATAGCCAAGTAAAGGCTTAGCCTCGCAAAGTTTACACTAGCGGACATTCTCTTTGGAATCGATATTGCCGACCCCCGACCAACCCCCCTGCCACGACGCCCCACTGACCGGAATCACAACCAAAAAAAAGGAAGCCCTTGCCATCAGTAACCTTGCCTCCTGAAATATTGAACATACATTTCTCAGTCTCCTGTATGGCACAAATCTGTGCGCACGCGCTAGCGGTTTCAATTCCAGAGGATTCAATTCTTGCCCGGTTGCCAGAGTCAAACACAGCAGGACGGTGGCAAAAGAGGACCACACGGCTGTCTTGTTTGCCCTGCAAAAAGCCAAGCAACATCATATAATATGCTGATAGCAAGTGTCCAAAGAGCTGTGCACACTTCCTCTCATACATCCATGACCCTGAAAGTTGACAACCATGCCACCTGAGCAACCTTTCTTTGTATGACCCAATATGGCAGGCTTCCGACAAGTCAGGGTGGCCGCTTCACGCAGAACTACCCAACAAAGCCGCTTTTGCTATCTGGTCAAACAGCGCATGATACGTCAAAAAAAGACACCTCAAAGGAATTGTGCACACGGTGAGCCAACCAAATAGAAGATCTCACAAGCAGCTCTGACCTTTTGGCACAGCTACATCTGGAACACATGGCTCCTTTGGTGGCGCTTGTGTTTCCCGACTTGTGTTTCACCAACCAATGACTCAACGTGAGCATTGCTGACTCAAACATGTTGTTCTTTTCTGGCTTGGTCATCTTGCCTTCCAACGAGCCTCTTATGTTACCTTCTTATGCGTGCCATAGCGTGGCTTCCACTTTGCAAAACCAACGCCACGGGAACGCTTCAAACGGCAACGGAATTATGGAGGCCCTGCGAACCAGGTGGTTTACCCGCGGACCCATGGAGGCCTGGAACAGTTCGATCATCTCCGGGTCCTTGGTGCACCACACCCGGTGGAGCGCGTCGCGTTCGTTGGCGTCCCGCTGCCGCACGTCGGCGCGGGACGCCAAGAGGAAGCGCGCCACGTCCACGTGGCAGCCCTGCGGCCGTGCAAGTTTGAACATGTGGATGGACGAAATCCTGCACCACCTGAGAAACCATGGGAAACCGTTATTTGTTGGTATTCTACCGGGGGAATCACCATTCCACAGTTTTTTTTCCTTTTCGGTGGTGCGACACGGATTTCCTCCATCCCCAGTATGGGAAAATGTCTAAATGGCTGGTTTGCAACCTTTGGCTTCCCTGAGAAGCCAACCCAACATTAGAAGCCCAAAGACTGTTCAACTCGCTGGAGCTCTGTGGCCGACGAGACCCCAACATCTGCTGAAGCACAGACAGTAGGTGAAGTTGGCCGTAGGCCCTGGTCAGTTGTCCTTGTGGCTTCCCTTTAAAGCCTGTCTGAAAAGGACTCTTTACAAAACAGAAGCCCAACAGAAGCCCATCTTGGCGGATGGAAGCGGTTTGGCCTTTCTGCTTTTCTGTGTCCGAAGCCCACCCCCCGCAGTCCTCAACAGCCCAGAGCAAGGCTGTGGCAAAGAACCAGTCCTGTCGATCCAAAGATCTCCCAGGAAAGGTCTTACCCAGACTCGCACTGGCCATGAGAAAAGGGCACTTTGTGTTGATACTTTTAAAGGGACCCCCCCTCCCAACACAAAGGAAAAAAGGCACCGCTGGAGGTGGTTCTCTCAGAACCTTTCTGTGGGGGGCCCCAATTGCTACCTGAATCTTCCAGTGCCCTTTGCTTGTCCCCCCATACCCCACTGCCCAGCTGTGTGTGTGTGTGTGTTTCTGTGTGTCTGTGTGTGTGTTTGGTTTACTAGCCCTGGTTGTATACTAGGCCCGGATGCGACACAAGGGCCACCCCACGTACATTATATAAAAAAAATATATCTGGCTTCAACTCGAGCCTTGCGGGATCGGGGGGCAAGAGGCAGTATTCTCAGAAGGCGTCCCCCCAAACCACCAAAGCTAGCCCAAAACTAAAGCAATACCTAAAATGAGCCTCAAGCCAACCCAGACCTGCCCAAGGTCAACCCGAAACCCACCCAACAGGATATAAGCCCTTTTGAAGCCTAGACCTCAGCCAGCGTAAGACATCAACTCTCAACTAACACCAAGTCAGAGCCAATGGGCAGCCCAAGCTTCAAGAGATCGGTGTGGGGATGTGGCCACCCAACCGGGGTTGAGCCCAACCGGAGCAAAGCAAAGCTTCTCAACAAAACGCAAGTTGCCAGTCTCCTTGTGAAAGAGCTCTGCTTCTGCCTCCACCAAAAGCTGCGTCATGGGCCTCGCTTCACAGGGGCTGTGGGTGGTTTTTTAGCCAGCTGGTGAAACTGAAGCCCGAAGAGTCCGAAAGAAGAACCACACTGGAAACCAAACAGTTTGTTATGTTTGTTTGCATCCATGCAAAACCCCAAGAAGGGCTGAATTCATCAGCTTGAACCTTGCAAAAGCACGTGCAAACGCAAGGATAAGGGTGCCACAGGAGAATCCGTTTCAACCAAAGGCTATACCAACAATGCAAATGCGGAGGCCGCGCATTCAGCCTAAATGGGTCCAGAAAACTAGCAATGCACTTGGATCTCAGGAATGCTTCAAAGAAGAGAAAACGTGATTCCTAGGTCATGCGCAAATTGCTGGCCCTCTCTGCCACACATTCTTCGCTTCGCGGCTTTTGCATGGCTTTTTTTTTCTTTTCGAGGCCATGTTCACGCAAGCGACCAGTCCTTGAAACGAATTAATCCTCACTTTAAATAACCATGAGGCGGTGACAAGTGCCGGTTCGTTGCTGGCTCAGATGGGAAGGAGCAACATGACCATCTCCCGATTTTGTCACAGGCATGCGGAGCGTGAGGCATTTGGGGCTTAGACAGAGTGCAGAATAATGATATTGACTCAAGGCTACTTGAGGCCAGTTGCCGCTGACTTGGCATCCCAAAGGTCAGGGCTTGGCCTTTCCGAGTTGCAGAAGGCCCTTCTTGGCAGCTTCGATCAAGGCGGTGGTGGCGCGACTTCCTGGCCAGTGAACCACGGTATGCGTATGTGGCAAGATAAGGCACTGAAAGAAGTGGTTGTGTTCCTTGTGCTTTTCCTTCAAACCAACACTAGATTTTAAAAGGGCTTGAAACAACAACGGAAACAAACGCACACTCATATGCGCAGACTTGCATGTATTCTACTGTTGCCACTGACCCCATGTAGCTTGGTTGGCCGTGCCCTGTAGACAACACTCATTTCAGGTGATGTTTAGTCAGGAAAAATAGACCCAACTCCCAGAGCCACAAAGGGGCACTCACAGTCTGGAACGAATGCGACACCAGTGCCCCGTGCCCATGCTGGTTTCCCGGGAAAACGGGACGGATAAAAAAAACAAAACAAACCAGGGCGCCCTGGAGGCTTGGGGTGCAAAACACGGTTCCCATTTGTGGTGTCCGTTGCGAAATTATAACCACATGCATTATTTAATTTGCAAATGCGCAGCTGGCAAAGCTGTTTCTCAGCTTACTTCACGTTCACAAGGCGCCCGTGGTCCTTTCTTGTTCACCCGCGCCCCGTGTTGCAGCAGCAGGCGTGCCACAGGCAACAGTCCGCTGCGCACCGCCAAGGTGAGGGCCGTGTCCGTGTCTACTCCCTTGGCGTCCACCTGGGAGGCTGCGAGGCGCAGGGGCGCTAACCCGAAAGGGGAACTTCTAGTGCCCTCAGATCCCCCGCTAGTGACGAACTTTTAGTGTGTTAAATGGAAGCTACCACTAAAGACTAAAAGGCTAAAAAGCTAAAGGGATGGCTGGGAGCCACCAAGATCTCCAGAGACACTTGGCCAAATACCCGCCAACCTCGGTTGCTGTAGTGACCTGAACAAAGTGAATCACTTTGTGCGGGTCCAATGGGCAATCCGCTTCCCAAAAAGTTAAAGCGATCCAAATAGCCGTAAGTGTTTGAATGGGGAACCCTCCAGGGTGAGGGATCTCCAATGAATGGAAGGAGGGGAACATGTGGTGGACATACATTCCGAGCTAGATGACGTCCGCCAAACTCACTTCCTGAGTGGATGGGCCAGAACAGCCCAAACTTTGTGTTTACCACGAATTGACATGGTCTTCTCAAAAATTTAAAAGCTGGAACTCAGGGAATGAGAACAGGGTCGCCCATCGAAATTCACGCCCAAATGAGTCGCGATCAAAACCTGGCATTAAACAGGACTATCCAAGCAAATCACTAAAAGGGCGGCCGCGCCGATTTATTGGTTGGAGCGTCCGTGTGCTTTGGCTGTTTTAAACGAGAAGCAAAAGGAAGCCAACAATTTGGGGTTGAATTGTTCTGGGTCAGTACAAGAAGCTCGGCCACGCCCGCCCAGCATGAAAGCTCACTCGGGGAGGGGCAAGTAAGTGACGATTCCTTCCCTTACCCTCCCCGCGGGATAAATCTGGACTTGCCCTTAATGACGCGCCGAGAAAACATGAGTAAACGTCAAACGGCCCCCCCCCTCGTGTCTTGCAAAGACATGTCCATTACGACATTTGCAAACAAAAGCCAGCACGCATAGAATAGTGCCAAGAAAAAAAGTAATGAGCAGAAAACAGCTTGATTGCATCAGCTGAGCCCCCATCCATCACGTGCGGGTGCCTTGTCAAAATAACAGAGGAAAGTTGCCAACAAAAAGTAGAGGCCTAGAAGCACGAGCAGGACAGAGCTTGATTGCATCAGTAGCACCGCAATCCATCACTTCTCGGCATTTCCCAAAAACACACTGCACACATCCCAGCTAGTGAAGACAACTTGAACAAACGACACCCCGGTCGGGGACCTTCCCGATTCCCAAACAAAACAGCAGCAGTTGCAAACAAAAACTAGTCCCCAAGTCTTGTGGGGCCTACTCAAAAGTCTTGCAGTGGAACCTTTCAACAGAAATAGTTTAAACAAAAGAGAATAACAAGAAGCATCAGCAGGAGTGAGCCTGCCTGCACCCACATCACATCCATCACTTTTTGGAGGCCTTCCCGGAAAAGAAACACAGAAGTTGCAAACAAAAAGCGACACACGTCCCCAGCTAGGGAGAAAACATGAACAACCGGAGGCAACCAAAGTCTGTGCTCAAGTCCGGGAAACATAATTTCCGGGGGCTTCTCAAGTCAAATTTTAGGCTGTGTCCATTGTTTTGTTATCTGGAACTTAGGGTTGGCTTGTTC